GCAGTTGGAATCTGAAAAAAGGCCGCTTTAGACCTTTGCCTCTGGCTCCTGACTGATAAAAAAAAAAGGATTCGGTTTTAGTGCTTCCATAAAGTCCGTACTTGTTAGGAACAAGTTTATTGATAATTTTAGCTATTAGTTATCAAGCCCGTGTGTTCAACAGTCGGGCAAGGCTCCTTGTGTGAAAATAAGCTATGCTGGTGAGAGTTCTTGAAGGTGGACTAATTGTAGTGGCAGTGGCAAGGTGAATAAAGGTGGATGTTGGTGAGTGAACTATTTGAAGGTGACTGTTGATGGTGGTGGAAATTGAAATTGAAGTAAGTTTATTGATGTAAAATACACACAAAGGGATGAGGTAGCTCAAGCTATTCTCACCCCGTTCAGTACAACGTGTTAATACATACATAGACACACATCACAAATAAACATATTACCAAACATTCTGAGAGATAAACACACATAAAGTTCCTCCTTCACAAGTAGTATGTTATCAGACGTACACACATACTTTTATGCATATGGTGGTGGAGGATGAGGATGTATGATTGTGCCAAGATACGAAGGAGGAAGTGTAGGGAGGCGGGAAGTGGGGGTGGGGTGAACCAGATCCCATGATGCAAGCTCGCCCAGCTGATAGTACGGGGGAGCACATGCCCACAGGGAAGCATGGCCGCAGCTAGGGATGGGAAGAGAAGTGCTGTGTTGATGCAGTTCCTGCAAGTGCTGGCCACAAGTGCCTGAGTTACTACTTGTGTCACTTAGCTCGCTTGGGGCATTTACTCTAGCGCCATTTTTGCTGGCGTGTTTGAGTGGAGGTGAGCCATTATGCCAGTGCGTAGTCACGTTCCCTTCTTTATGACTTGCCTGGCGAAGTTACTGTTGGGGGTGGCTGGGTTTGGTGGAGTGGGGTGGGGTGGTGCTGGAGTGGCAGGGTAGGGTTGGGGTGGTGCTGGAGTGGCAGGGTAGGGTTGGGGTGGTGCTGGAGTGGCAGGGTAGTGTTGGGGTGGTGCTGGAGTGGCAGGGTAGGGTTGGGGTGGTGCTGGAGTGGCAGGGTAGTGTTGGGGTGGTGCTGGAGTGGCAGGGTAGGGTTGGGGTGGTGCTAGAGTGGCAGGGTAGTGTTGGGGTAGTGCTGGAGTGGCAGGGTAGGGTTGGGATGGTGCTGGAGTGGCAGGGTAGTGTTGGGGTGGTGCTGGAGTGGCAGGGTAGGGTTGGGGTGGTGCTGGAGTGGCAGGGTAGGGTTGGGGTGGTGCTGGAGTGGCAGGGTAGGGTTGGGGTGGTGCTGGAGTGACAGGGTAGGGTTGGGATGGTGCTAGAGTGGCAGGGTAGTGTTGGGGTGGTGCTAGAGTGGCAGGGTAGGGTTGGGATGGGGTGCTGATGTCCATTTGTTCGAAATTATCTCAAGGTAACCTTAAGGTATGTTGTCCCCTTGCCTTATACTGAACATGGTTTCCCTTAGAATCTTGAATATCATTACCTGTCTACTCAATTCAGTCTTTGTGGCGAGATTTTTAACTCCCTAAACCTCTTATTTATTTAATCCGGACAGTTTGGGTAAGAGCCTCGATATATATTTCGAATTTCCAAGTTTATCTTTGCTTCTCAAGATCTGGGCTTAACGCTAGGGCGGCTCCAAGCAAACAGCCTGGTGGATCAAGCTCTCTGAACGGGCTGGGGAAGTAGAACTACTCTCAGAGCCCCATCAAGCAGGGGTTGATGGGGATGACATTCCGATGCCAGAATAGGGCGAGTGTATATCGTGGGCAGTGTTGTGAAGATCTCTCCTCTCCTCTCTCGGTCCAAGCGACGATGCCTCCAACTCCGTCCCCCTGTGTAACATGAGCGTTGCTTACCACTGACATCAATGACCACTAACACCACTCCTTGCTCTTCCAGGATTTTTTTCTACGATATCCTGAATACCGGCGTTGTCCTTTATCTTCAAATTCAGTTTAGCCTAACATGAATGTCACCCCTCGGACGTCAGCTAGTTTATTAATGCCGTTTTCTGTTACCTTCTTGCAACACTTGGTCTCTTAAGCGTAAATCTCGTGACTGTAGCGCAGAATCTCAGTTTTTAAGATAAAATAATATAACTTTCGTCTATCATAAAAACATTCATAATGCACACATGACACTAAATATTTAGCCAATAAGTGTGTAAATATTAGTGAGATTAATGCCTCCATGGTGAAAGGTTCAAGGATGTGCATTCCGGACAGAAACCGAGGATACAGCATGCGTTGCCCCTCTGGATCGCAATGTCGAGTCGCTGAAACAGGAAACTGGCAGCCCTGGGGGGTTGGGGAGGGGTCTTGCACTCTTGATGGGTCTAGAACAGCTCTTTGCTAAAGCTCATGGCACACACATGCCCCAGGAGCCAAGGGTGTCTGAGGCTATGTGGCCAAACGGGTACCAGTGTCCCGGTTGCCTATATTTGTTAGCCTTTCATATTATATTAATGTATGTTATCTAAGTAATAATTTATAAATGTGTGTGGCGAGGATTTCTGATTTCTAGAGTTACTCGTTGTACTAATGTGTAATTCTTGTTTTTTTAGGTGAGTACGGATGGTGGCGCTGTGGTGGTGGTGACGTCGGAGGTGGTGTGAGTATTCGTGGTTCTCCTTGGGTCATCTACATGACTCTACACGAAGCGTCTGGGACAAAGTGGTGCATACAGCACTTTGTCTCCTATATACAATTATATAGGAGCTCAATATATTATTATTGAGCAGGTATTTTACGTGCATATTTGTTTATAGTTCATTTTTGTGGGAGTGGAGTTGTGTAGTAAGATAGCGAGTTATGTGAACGTAGCCGGAGGGAGGGTGTGGGTGGGTGGGGGGGGGGGTGAGGACTGGCAGGGGGGCAGGGCGCCACACCTGTACACCCGGAACTTGTTACAACACTACTGACAGGTGTAGGTTATGGTCGCCTATCCCACACCGGCGGCATTCACATCCTCTTCTGCTGGTCATCTTGTCCATCTCTCTACCCGCTCACTATCCCACTGATGCTTCTATCCCCCCCCCCACTATCCTTCCCGTGTGCTTCACCCTCCTTCCTTTCTTCTGCCCCTCGGCCCCCCCCCCCTTTTCTTCTGCTCCTCGCCCCCCCTCTTTTCTTCTACTCCTCGCCCCTCACCCCCCCTTTCTTCTGCCCCTCACCCCCCCCCTTCTTCTACTCCTCGCCCCTCACCCCCCCCTTTCTTCTGCCCCTCACCCCCCCTTTCTTCTGCTCCTCACTCCCCCCCTTCTTCTGCCCCTCACCCCCCCCCCCCTTTCTTCTGCCCCTCACCCCCTCCCTTCTGCCCCTCACCCCCCCCTTCTGTCCCTCACCCCTCCCCTTTCTTCTGCCCCTCACCCCCCCTTTCTTCTGCCACTCACCCCCCTTCCTTCTGCCCCTCACCCCCCTTTCTTCTGCCCCTCACCCCCCTTTCTTCTGCCCCTCACCCCCCTTTCTTCTGCCCCTCACCCCCCCCCTTCTGCCCCTCACCCTTCTTTCTTCTGCCCCTCACCCCCCCCCCTTTCTTCTGCCCCTCACCCTTCTTTCTTCTGCTCCTCACCGCCGCCTCTACTAATAATTAGCCCCATAAATTGTATTTAGTTTTAAGTTATGGTGAATTTAATGTGAAGTATCGCGTGCAGTGTACGAGACTGTAGTGTTGTAACACACACGGGTTGCCCTCGGGCCGGGCTTGGAGTAGAACTCCCAGAACCCCATCAACCAGGTATCAACCAGGTAACACGGTTTGCCCTCGGGCCGGGCTTGGGGAGTAGAAGAACTCCCAGAAGCCCATCAACCAGGTATCAACCAGGTAACACGGTTTGCCCTCGGGCCGGGCTTGGGGAGTAGAAGAACTCCCAGAAGCCCATCAACCAGGTATCAACCAGGTAACACGGTTTGCCCTCGGGCGGAAGAACCCGGCTGGGTAGTTCATCTTGTCAGTTGTGGGGAGGTTGGCTGTCTCAAGTTCCGGACACGTTAGACCAGCGATGTATGTGTTTGTTATTGCTAGAGAAGGCGGCAACTTCATCGGGAGAGTTGTTCACACGTTACGATAAACTTGAGACGATACGACTTGATACCACTACGATACACGTACGATACGACTTGATATGACTACGATATACGTACGATACGACTACGATACACGTACGATGCGACTTGATACGACTACAATACACATACGGTACGACTTGATACGACTACGATACACGTACGATTCGACTTGATACGACTACGATACACGTACGATACGACTACAATACACGTACGATACGACTTGAGACGCCCGGGGGGTTGGCTGGAGGAGCCAAGAGTATGAGCGCCGAGATGTATGGGTTCATTATATATATATATTGTTTAATTATATTTTAAACCCGATGGTGTGAGGTACTTGATGTTTTGGGGTTTATACGTTCTCGTGTTCTTTAGGGTTCTTGTCATCTATAAACCATCTTGCGGTTTATTGATATTTGTGTTATTGTAACCCCTTGATATTGTATATTGTTATTATTAGCATCTTTATTGATCAAATTATATTGTATAGGTTCAACCTGTCCTCTTACAAAGAACGTCGCATTTCGCTCGTATGTGTTACATAAGGCGTTGTTTTAGAAAACGGAAGCAGCTCACGAAAATGACGTACTGTCCCGTTTTCTGTTTTGGGTCCTCCTCTTTTTTTTTTTTTTTTTTTTTGTTATGAGAGGACACTTTAATTTGATTGTTTTCTCGGTGTTGGGAAACCTTTGGAGTACGGGCTTGTAGGTTAGCCGCGTAAATGTCCATGTAGCTATGTTGTAAGACGTCTACAGTGGCGGCAAGTTGGTGGTTGTGGTGCGTGGTTGTAGCGCCCCTTGTGTAACAACATGAGGGTGGTTGTTGGAGCGGGGAGCAGGGGGGAGGGGGAAATAATATTGAGTTTAGATGAAGATCAGATATTGCAACAGCTGACACCACCCCACTGTGGGTTGGTGACTGCACTACCCCGCAGTGCTAGTGGCTCCAGTTGGAGGGCGGCCTTTGTCACGGCAGCGTCCGTGTGTGGGCACCTCTCCCTCACTATCTTCACCACTATCACTAAACTATCCAAAGTGTTTCAGAAGCGATGAGTGACTCCGTGCTGTAAATGGAAGACATAGTGGCAGTTTCTCGTTAGTGTCGTGTACTTAGTGGCGGCAGAGAGGGAGGTCTGGGGAAGGGGGGGAAAGCACCTGGGGGTAATGATTACCCCGGAGGGAGTACCAGGATGTAGGTGGTGGTTGTGGCGGCTACCTCACGTCCGGCGCTAGCCTGCACTCCGCCCCCCTCAACTGCTCCGTCAACACCCCCATGAAGCACCGTCAACACCCCTGCACCACCTACCACACCTTATCTGGTTGGTGTGCTCCAGCCCGCCGCCAGTGTCACGGTGCTTCATCATACGGCATGATGCACTCTAAAAGTGTCTCGGGCCTCCTCTATTACTTAAATACTATTAAAGTATCTGGCGGGGCCTCGCGGTGAACGAACCCACCACGTGTTGGCTGTTTGATGATTAACGTTACATTTCGGGTGGAGTGACGGGTTGTGAAGACGGGCGGTGTGCATCACTCGGTACATGTGGGTTGATGCCCTGGCGGGACAGGTCGAGTATTATTACTGTAGTGGCAGTGCGGATGCCGTGTTCATATACATTTTTATGCGCGCTGTTCTTTTGTTATTTGGAGCATATTCATTCGCTTTATACAAGTTATTTTTAAATCGCATTCCTTGAAGTCTGTCAGTATGGATGAGAATTGAGGTATCGTGTACATTACAACCACCTGGTGGCATAGAGTACGAGATCAACAATTTCATTTGTAGAAAAGTACTTTTGAAGAGTAGTGAAGACGAGTGTGTAGCGACGTGTAGCATCCGTGACTTGGCTGCCACCCACTCCCTCCACCAGCCTGCTCTCATCCCCTTGTGGCCTTGCTACCTCGCCCGCCCTCCTCCCTGCTTGCTTCTCACAACTGTGTCGTCTTTGTCTACAACTCGATAGTTATGAGGCAGGCGTTGTGCGGAGCCTGCATATGCTGCTGCAGGGTTAAGATGCCAGAGACACTTGTCAGTGAGCTTAGCCACATCCTTTCTAGTTTCCTGTGGAGGATAAAGCAGAGTTGACAGTTAGGGTGATGATCAGAGTTAGAGGTGGAGTGAGGAGTCTGGCTGGATGCCCAGTCGATGCCAGTGCTGGCTGTGTGCCTGATCACCATCAGGCCTCCCCGCCACCACCACCTGATTGGGCCGGGCCGCCGCCGCCACCACCAGCATCAGCAGTTTGTGGAGGCAGCAGTCCTGTCGGGTAGTGAGTGGGGCGCGGCCGTGTGGCAGGCGCGCTCTTCCCCCGGTGATCATGTGATTATCCGGCCCACCGCCAGCCTGGCCTTCGTCATACCCGCACTAGCAGTTGCCACTCATGACCACTTCAACACCACGCCCACTCTGACGCGGCTCCCACTTGTGTAATACCACAGTCACCTTAGTGCCAGACAGCGGCTAAAGATCAGCGTGTGTACATGTTGTGTCATAGAACATGGTGTGTAGGGGCAGGTGAAGTGAGGTGATTTGGGTAGTTATCGTGGTGTGGTTATGGGCAGGCAGGGCACGGCCGACCTGCCCTGGTGGAGTCCCGGCGTCATGTTGCCTCCTGATCAGGGTCGTCACCACCATGCCCGGGAACCCGTCAGGGAGCTGCCTCCCGACAACCCCCAGTCCCGGCGAGAGCGGCAGGAACTGCGTCGCCGCAGGACACGTAAAGAACGAAAACGGTTTCCGATTCAGGAGTGTAGTGGGGGAGGGGAGAGGTGGGAGGATTGGCTGGTGCCCGGGTGGGTGCTGGAGACGGTGCGGTTCGTGTGGCAGTGGACCCTTAACGTCGGAGTGGTTATGTTGACGCGTCTTGTTAGTGTATTCTGGAAGAGTTTGAGTGGCAGGGAGGAGTCGTGGGCGGCCTCAGCGAGCGGGAGCAGTGAGCGTGACTCAAATGAGTCAGATTTTGGTGAGGCGCTCAGTGTGTGCGCCACCAGAGACTCGTCCGGGCCTCACGCATCCCCCTGCGGCACGCCGCCGCCGCTGCTGTTCCCACCAGACCCGCCACACCGGTCACACCTGTGTCCGCAATACCTGGACGGCATCCCCGGCCACACAGACACCACTGTTAGTGTAGGCGCTACACAGCCGCGTCGTGTGCCTCGTGCCTCCATGATCCATCCCAAAAGTGACCCCCTGCAGGCTGAGAACTCTTGCGCCCACTGCACCTCCCAACGCCGTGACGTGCCCGAGGGAGATCATGGCCACATCCCACTGGCGTGTCCGGAGTGTCAGGCCGCACCGCAGGACAACACTGGTAAAGAAACATCGAGGCAGAATGCTTCCAGTCCCATTCTGGAGGCCGTGCGAGGCTTCACATCCCTGCAGGAGGAAATGATGAGTGCCATCCGGGATGCCAAGAAGACCTCGACTTCCCTGGCCCTGGAGCGGCAGGACAGTACTTCGTCTGTTGCTAGTGGTGGCTCCTTAGGCTCGCTGGCCTCGCTGGATGTGTTCCTCTCTGGGTGCCCGCACGACTCCTCTGTTAGTTCTGTGGTCAGCTCTATATCACCCAGCCCTCAGCCCACCCACAGCCCTCTACGATCTCCCAGCCCTTCATCCATCCAGGACTTGCCCACGTTGGTGCCACAGGAGGCGCAACCCGTGGGCACAGGCGAGTATTTAAGGGGCGGGGACTTCGACCAGTGCTTGGAGGATGACATTGAGGCGTCGTTGGCCCACTTGGAGCACCACTCCAACTCTGACACCGATACTGAGGTGGACGACCTGCAGCAGGTAGACTACAGCGAGGGTGACAGTGCCGTCAGGGGCAGTCTGGTGCTGGACCTCACGCGTCGATACTGGTCAGCCAATGCAAGTTTTCCGCAGGAGCTGACCCCGCCCACCACGGGCCAGGAAGACCCGCTCCCGCCCCCTGATCTGCCGTGCGACCCGGAGGTTCAGTTACAGAGTGAAGAGGTCATCAGAGCTATACTGGACCTGACCCGGGGCTCCAGGCAGGAGGTTGACCCCACGTGCCCCGAGGGCAGCCCAGGGCCCACTGACGTACACCTACAGTGCTGTGCTTCCACACCGCCGCCGCAGGCCTCCCGTGACCCTGCGTCGCCCCAGAGGCAAGACCTTACTGAAGGTGATGCTGCTCGGCCACGAGATGAGGACTGTGGGGGCGTCTCGGGCAAGGTTAACAGCGGGGTGGGTGACGGAGGAGAGAGGACACACGAGGCAGGAAGGCCCCTAGAGGTGGCCAGCGGCCAGGACACGGCAACACCGCATCCTGATATTGGCCTCGGTCAGGAGAGGTCATGCAGGCGCGGGGAAGGCGGCCCGCCTCACGCCCACCTCTACACCTCAGATGCAGCGGCCACCAGCAGGAGTGTAGGGGAGGAGGAGTGTAGTGGGGGCGAGTGGGGCGTGAGTGTGAGGAGTGAGGCGAGAGACCCACCAGCTGGGCAGCCAGGCCACCAGGGTGATGTGGCTGCTCCACCGGGGAAACTCCCACATCACTTTCTCCACCCACCCTCTTACTCCCTCCCCTCGCCTCCCTCTTATCCCCCTCCCTCACCACCCTCTTCCTCTCTCTCTCATTCCCCTCCCTCATCGCCCTCTCAATCTCCTCCATCCTACCCCCCTCCATCACCACCCTCACTCTCACCCACTTCGCTCCCGCCCACACCACCCCCTTATCCCCCGCCCGCTGAATCACCACCCACTCTCCCGCCTTCTTCGCCTCCAATTTCCCCAGCACCATGGCCTCTCACCCACCCGCCCTGCTCGCCAGCAGGGGCGGCGCAGCAGGAGGAGCCGGCGGCGCTGCCTGTGCTGGACATTACCAGTCTCAGGAAGGAGATCACCGCCATCAAGGCAGAGATCCTCACCCGTAAGGGCAAGAAGACCCATCACATCGTCGACTCCGAGGAGCGCTGCTTCGTCTCGTCCTGCGAGGACATCACCAACCTCAGGGACGAGATCCTGTCTCTGAAGCAGGATTTCTACACCCTTCTCGACGAAAACGCCCCCGTAAGCAAGGATGTGTGTAAAAAACGCAAGTCTCATTACCAGTCAAAGAAGCACCACGAGCACCTGTATAGCCAGAGAGCGCCTCTCCTCAAGCACCAGCTCAAGTCCGTCAGCATCGACAATGTAGAGGAGCTGAAGAAAAATTATGCTAAAGATGACGCGGCTTCATCGTTCTTGAGAAAGGGTAAGGGAAAGAAATATACTGGCGGGAGCATGACGATGAGCATGGTGCTGGACCTGGCCGAGGACTGCGGTCACACCAGCAACACCACCTCCAGCCATGCATTTTTCACTACACCGCACATCAGCACAGAGTCCTTCCAGTCCGCCGTCAGCGACCTGTCAGCAGTCAGGGTGTCTAACCCACCAGACTCCGCCACTGCTCTTCAGCTTCCCACTGAAGCGTACCTCCCTGACACGGACGTCCCCAATAAACTCCTCGACACGCAATTCCTCGACAGGCTCCTCCTCGACCCAGTCTTGCCCGACACGCTTCTCCTCGACCCAGTCTTGCCCGACACGCTTCTCCTCGACACGCACTTCTCTGATGCCCAATTCCATGTGGGCGGCCACACCCAGCATGACACAAAGGAATCACTACCAAGCGCTTGGACTGTTCACAGTAGCGAGTTGTTAGTACCCGCAGTGAAGGATAGCGGGGGAAGCGTTAGCTGTGTTGTGTTGCCTAGTGATGTAATCACCATGAGTAGTGATGGTGAGAGTGATAGTGGAGAAGATAGCCACAGTGATACGTGTGAGGATAATCAAGGAGTAATCGCGCGCCCCACCAGTATCGAGAGGATTTTATATGGGATTGACCCGTCGCCCTACAAGGTCAAAAGGTTAGTATTGCTTGTGACAGTGCATTCACATTGTCAGTGACATGTATAATATGTTGAATATAACTC